ATTTGAGCAACACTTTGAAAATTAAGCAAGAATATTGAAATTCATGTAAAAAAAATAAATATACCATGTTCGCGCTTAATTTTCAAGGTATTCTCTATTCGCCTCGAATTTTTTAATAACATTAATTTATTCAAGATGTCAAAGTCTATAAAAAAACATTATTACTTTTGCTTATACCTTTTTAGGCAGAAATCAGTTGCTTTTCGCGCTCGGCTGAACAGCGTTCTTTATTGGCGCCGCCATTAGTGTGCTGAAATCATGTGCACCAATCAGCATGAGTCCCGAAATGATCAGTCTCTAGTAAAGGGTCTCTATCTGCCCAAACGCAGCCTGCGACACAGTGATCATATCATCTTTGTTTAACATTGACAAACAACAAGGGTATAATGATCCATTGTGTCACACCGTGTCATTTGTGTCGTTTGTTGGAAGGCACACAATATATCTTGATAACAGCTCATAGCATATCTACAAAATTATGTATACATATTTCATTAAATTATAATGTAATAAGAATAACAATGGCAAGGCGGAATAATTCTGATCGGAATCCATTCATTAAATTATAATGTAATAAGAATAACAATGGTAAGGCGGAATAATTCTGATCGGAATCCATTCCGACATATTTCATGATAAGTACCCTATAGGCAAACGGGATCTTCCCGTAGATTTATAGGCTTTCATGGAAACGCACGTTTGTGCGGCTCCCGCGCCTTGTTATTCTGATTTTGAACAACCAATGAAAAAAATCCCGCGATAACCTACAACCTACGTGCTAGCATGAGCAATGCTAGCATTTGTCTCGTGTAGCCTTTCGTGCTTCGCCTTGCTGGACTTGTTCCGGTTACTTTATTATCTTACAATTTATTCCATCTTTGCATTAATGTTAATGTTTGAATTATGATACATATTTTTTGAAACAAATTCCAAATAGGCTTTCTAGGTATCTGATCAAAGTACATCTTCGCAATGAATGTTCATGAGTCCTTGATTTTAACAGGTCACGTCTTCCCATGTTTTAGAATCTATCAGAAGGAACTATCGTTTGAGGACGTAGCAAAAGTACACCGAAGCTGCGGCATGACGAACACTGGAGGTAAAGTAATCGCCAATCTGCGACAAAAGTTCATGTCGCCAAAGGTGTTGCGATGGTTTCCCGGTCATATGACGAAGGGTCTAAGACAGATGCAGCAGCGTTTAAAAAATATCGATTGCATCCTAGAGGTTCACGACGCTCGGGTACCGATCTCCGGACGTTATGCAGACTTTAGCAGGACTTTGACCGGCTTGAAGCCACACATACTTGTACTAAGCAAAAAAGATCTAGCAGATACGAGATGCACAGACAGTATAATCTCTACATTGAACAGAGAAGGACTGTCCAACATAATCTTTACAAACCTGAAAAATCAACATTGCAAAGGCATGAAGCAGATTTTGCCTCTAGCCAAGAAGTTGATATTGAATTCACAACGTTACAATAGAGTGGAAGAAGAGTCTTACTCCATGATGGTCATTGGTGTACCAAATGTTGGAAAGTCCTCTCTGATTAATTGTTTAAGAAACAATCACCTTCGCCTTTCGGGCAAAGCTACTCCTGTTGGCGCAACGGCTGGAAAAATATAAAAATATCAGAGGAGCCTGTAGTGTATCTGATTGATACCCCGGGTATCCTAGCTCCTTCCATCAATGACATTCATACTGGTTTTAAGCTGGCTTTAGTGGGATGTCTGCAAGATCATGTAGCAGGATCGCATCTACTTGCAGATTACCTACTATATTGGCTGAATAAAAATTGCAGATTTGAATATGTAGAGAAATTAGGTTTGCCAGAACCAAATGACAGTGTGTCATACGTACTCACGTTTATTGCTGCAAAGTTGGGAAAAACCGTGAGAATAAAAACCTATAACAATCAGAACCAAGTCATGCCTGATTTAAAATGTGCAGCGGATTACTTTATTAGTTTATTTAGGAAAGGAGAATTTGGATCCTATTGTTTAGATATAGATTTACTAGAGACCTCACAAAATTGCAAAGTTAGTTTAGCGTAGTAATAATTGTCTATGTAAATATTGTATATTTATTTATGAAAATAGTTTTTAATCAAATACAAATCTTCGTAATTTTACATGACATCTGATATTTGAATGATCCTAAATGAGAAAACCTTGAGGAAGTTACCTTTCCGCTACATCACATTATTTTTTTTAAATAAAAAATGAATAACATTCGATTATATTATTAAGATTATTTTATTTTAAATTTTATTTTGAATGTCTTGTATATGTCTCAAAAAAATTTTTTTATCATAAATTAAAAAGCTGATAAATGTATGAAAATGTAAGTATTCGTTAGATAAAGAAGAGTATAATTGCATCAGATATTGTCCCCACCAGTTTTGTAGTCCTGTTACTTTCTGTAACTGCTTTCCGCGAAAGTAGGGCAATCGTTTACTACGTCTGGAAGACTCTTCTTCAATATGTCTTTCATTGTGTTACCTTTAAAATCTACACGGAAACTATATAAATTTCACTGTATTATTATGACATGAAATAATCGAGCAATTAAATGGACTGACCTGTTTAAAAGATTTACCGTTGTATCAATATCGCGAGGAATCTCGAGCTTGCAAACCACGATTTAAAAAAAAATTTTTCAAACTCAAAGGATCAATTCAAACTCAAGAATTTTGAATCGTCACTCGAGCTAACGCTTCTTTCGGAATTGATTTTTAGCAAAAATGTTTGCGAGGGTAACGTTTTATCCGACCTTACTTTATAACGTCGTTATGGAAAAAATTACAACTCGAAACTGGTACGATAGAATAGACGAGACTGTTATTTTGGGCGCCTTACCATTTCGACGAACAACCAAACAGGTATGGTTTCGTAAATTAATTTTTGTAACAGAAATTATAAAAAAAAATCAATAAAATATTTTATATATATTATACAAAATCACAGTAATATCTTGCATTTATGCCTTCATAGTTTATTTTATATCTTTCTTATATTATCTTATTTTATTTGCGTTTATTTTTTAATAATGTCATAAAACAGACGTTATTACCATATTTAATGTTTTAGTTTAAAAATGATTTTTAATTTTAGTCTATAATATGAGCCTATTCTTCTATACATACATTAAGTAATAATATACATTAAGAATATGTCAGAAACGTATCAATTATTTAAACAAATAAAGTTTATGGGACAACCACTAAGTTACAAATATTCAAGTAGTGCTATTATATACAATTTATATTTTACACTTCTGTTCTTTTTACTTTCAGTTGATAGACGATGAAAATATAAAAGCTGTCGTGTCTATGAATGAAGATTATGAATTGTCTTTATTGTCAAACACAGAGGAGGTACGCGGTTAAATAAAATTTAAATTTGGAAAATAAACTAGTATGTTGAAAACTAGTGCAAAATGGAAACATATGTAGCTTGATATAATACTTTTCTCCATCCAGGAATGGCGCAGATATAACGTACAATTTCTACAGTTGTCCACAACAGACATCTTTCAAGCACCTTCGCAAGAAAAATTACAGAACGGTGTAAATTTTATTAATAAATTCCGCAACATATCAAATAAAAAATTAGATAATCCAGGTACCAACAATAATCACAACCAACATGGGACAGTTTATGTTCATTGTAAAGCAGGAAGAACAAGAAGCGCAACATTGGTTGCATGCTATTTAATAACAGTGAGATTATATGACATGATTTCAATGCAAAACTAAGAGATTTTTAGGTGGTAAAATATTCTTTTCGTTTTTCTAGAAAAATAATTGGACTCCTGAAGAAGCAGTTCATTACATGCGAACGAAAAGACCACATGTATTGCTTCATACAGCACAATGGTCTGCGCTCAATCAATTTTATGCGAGACATGTACAGCCTACGTCCTAGCTAAAATGTTTTTATATATTTGTTGATGTTACTTTATACAAATGAAAAGTATAAATAGATAAATAAAGACTAATTTATTTAGATACGACGCTAAATTACGTATATATTCATTCAAATATAAAGAGTGAAAAGATAAAATGCAGTATAAAATAAATCGTTCACTGATTTTTATTATTAGTAAGCTTAACTTTTTTTACATGCGCAGATGCAAATTTGGTAGCCTCTGTAATTGCTTCTTCCATACGTATCTGAAAATCCTGTGATACTTTTGTAGATTTCATACTTGCGACCAACATGGGTTTGAATCCCTTGATAGGTCCATACTCTGCATTAAAAATTTGAAGGATGATATTCATCCAAGTTTGTGCATTAAATGCACTAGAAGCTATTTCCTAAATACAATAATAAGAGTTTATTTAAATTGTTTACGTTTTGATATACATATAGATTCCATATTGTTATGATCTATGTTGAAATGTATATTTACAAACATATGAATAAAATATACCTGTGGCATGGAACATCTTGCTTTTACAAATCCATTTGTACATGACAGAACTAAAATTGGCATCTCAGAAAAGAGAGATACAACTTCATGCAATGACAAATATGTGGGATTTTTATTCAGACAATACACAATAAAATAAGATAACGAATCCGTGGCATCAATGATTTCACGAGTTATAGAATCTCTATTAAAAATCATTATTAAGTATTATTCAAAATTGAATAGATTATTTATGTAGTATACATATATAATATTACATACATTTCGATTTCTTTCTCTCGCAGCCATGCCATCTTGCTTAAATTCTCCAGCTGTGTCAAACATTTCTCTTTAATCAAGTAAGGTAATAGTACTTGTATATCCTGAGCATTAATTTCTTGTTTTATTCGATTTAATTCTGTATTAAATAGTTCATATGTAAATTTGTCACTTCGTAAAACGTCTTCTAGCTCTGCAATCCTCTGACATATATTTTCACCGGCTTGTTTCATACGTAGAGCTCCCGAACCAACAACAGCCTTAACAGTGCGTTTTGTTGCTCCCTTTGAGGTATATGTTAAAAAGCAGAAGTGTTGCAGTACATCAGTATTATGTACATGCGTACCACAACACGTTTCCCTAAAAATACATAATTGATATTAATGTAAAGTCTAGTTTAGAAAATTTGATGTTTAAAATTCAGATTCACTAACTTTGCTTTCAAATCATCAGTATTAATTTCTACGATTTTAATGTCTGTATAAGGATATATCTCTCCTGGAAATAATATAACATCATTTTGCTTTAACAGTTCGAGCGAATTCACAGTTTGCACAGTCGTTACAGCACGAGACTGTATGACATTGTTAATACAATTTTCTATTGTCTCCATTTGTTCTAATGTAAGTTGTTCGCCTAACGAATTGAATTGAAATTTTAAACTATCCATATCGACTGTACATCCACGTTGATAAATTACTTGCATAACTTGCTTTAAGGCTGCATTTAATAAATGTGCTGCTGTATGATGTTTCATAGCTCCAATACGAATATTTGATTCTATATTGACTAGACAATCATCGTCTATTTGTAAATGCAGCTCCGATATACTAGAAAACAGATTTGTATATTGATTATGAACATTTTACAATTAAATGAAAACATAATTAAAATGAGTTTTATAATTATTTAAATATATCTAAACATAAAAATATGAGACACTTACGGTAAATCTGTTTTAGCAAAATATCCAGAATGAATCACATAGCAATTTACTTTTCTAACATTGTCTATATTAAAAAGTAAATTCTTAATACGAATATTCCCTTTATCTGAAATTTGGCCACCTTCTAATGAATAACATATAGTCTTGTCCAAAATAATTCCAATCTTATCTGTACTATTTAATATCTCGTCGATATTTACAACTGTTTTATTGTTAGTATTATTAGTTTTTATATCGGAATAATTTTTACTTGCAACTAATTCACCTACAATATACGATATAAATCCAATTTTATATCATTGCATGATATAAGCAGTTAAATAATTGAAATATATGATAAAAATGTACATAATTTATTCTAACATTACCATTGACAATAATTCCAATAAGTTTACTGCTAAGTACTGGAAATTCGTAGGTATTTCCATTATATGTATAATTATATTTGAATGAATCATCCGTCTTAGGTACATGATTTTTTTTAAGTATTCCTAAAGACTCTTTAGTAATTACAGTACTATGTTTGTCTAATCCAATCCTTGACTGATATCTACGATTATCAAGTTGCTTTTCAAAATCAGTTTCATCAAAGTATAAACATTCGATTTGTGCCAGTTCCGCTATAGTTTCCGAATTTAGACCGTATGTATCATACAGCTTAAATGCGACAGTTCCAGATAATACATTAGTTTTACGTCTGTAAATAATATTATGTGTAACATATTATGTCATGTAAAAAAAAATACAATTAAAAAAATATCTTACAATTCTTTCAACATGGATTGTAGATCTTTATAGCCATCAACTAAACCAGGAGCCACCCAATCAGTAACTGCTATTAATTCGGGACGAGTTTTAATCATCTTATTCCACATTTTACCAGAAGTATTTCGTAATCTTTTTAATAAATCTTCTTCAAAATCTATTATCCTTTGTACCTGATAAATTCATCTAGTATATTAAGATTATGTAAACTGTCTCGATAAGATGATAAGAACTCAAAAATTTCATTTTAATATATATTTTAGTCGTTTTAATCTTAATTATTTTACCTGTTTTAGATTAGTGTGCAATTCCGGGTAAGTTACACCCAGGTTATCAGCTACATTGCAAGCAAGTTCTGAAACTATACCAGATTTTCTGAAGATTTTCTCTCCTATGTCTATTGCATGTCGCAATACTTTTCGCAGTTTTGGACTGAAATTATATATATATATATATATATATA